CCCTTGCTTTGCTCCATCAAACCTGTCATGAAAGATAACAATCATCAACAATGCCACAGCCTTTGTCCTAGAGAGCTTCATGGTCTTGTGCTGTTGTTTCCCTTGAAATGAATGCTTATTACTGGTTATAATGAATGATGATCAAGAAAGGTTGTAAATATATAGGAAATGAGACTCATGCCATTACGCACCTCTGTCCTAACCCATGATCACACTGGTCATACCTTGCTTAGGAGATCTGTTGTTGATCAGATTTCTATCAAGAAACTCTCCCATAGAAATGCATCTGGTACATTGATAAGACAGTTGTTAAGCTCACATTTCATGAGTACTTGTCCCTCCAAAAGTACTTCCCTTGTAAAATTGGTATTGACTGACCTGCCTTGTTATCCTACAAAGCCAATCCGTCACATGTCTAGACTACCAGCAACTAACTTCTCATCTTACCATTCATCAAAAATAAATCTCATCATACCAGTCATTACCTCATTTTGAGTCATTAAGTATTAATAGAAGGAATGCTAAACCATGTGATATACATTTGTCAATAAAATTTTTATATTTTGATAGGCTCATTTAAGTAATCCACAGCCAGTATCGTCCAACTAAATATATGTCTATTGCCTGGATCAGTTCAGATGTAGTTGACGACATGATAACATAAGAAATTTAATAAATCAGAATCAATTTGCACTTGTAAGAAGATATATCACATAATTTGTCAGAGTAAAGAACGGCCAAGTAAAAAGTGGCATAGTTTATTTTTAAAGTATCAATTATCTAATCCTTTTTAGCGACTGATCTTTCAATCCAACCCCAGAATGCCACTTGAATCTGGGCAATAATAAATGGTTTTACATGTTACAAGTTAACATGACTCCGGTTTCTTTCCTTTCAGATTGATTACCGCAAGCTCCTGTTCAACAAATTCTCCGGCACACATGGCTGGATATTGACTGGCAAGAGGGGATTCCGCAAAATGGCCCAAAGGTTTTAGCACAGCGTCTGATGCAATGTGGGAAAACAGCTGTGGGTCATAAACAAGATGATCAGAAAGTGTACTCATCAACGTATAATTAAACTCACTGATAGCCATATTCATGGGAATAGTCAATGAGGGTAGAGCCTATAGAATAGTTGGCTACACTCACTGTTGACGAAACTCTCCATAAACTGCGATTTTGCTCAGATGCTAGTTTAATTGCATCAAGCGTCCTGCCTGTAACAACAACTTCATGCATACCAGCAATGCACTCTCCTGCAGTCAACCATTCTATCTGCACACACAAGGTAGCACAGATGGGTAGGGAGTAATGTTAAAATAAAAAAACAGATGTGTTATTGTTACTTATATACAACTTAGAATACTAGGGAACAGAAAAGCAACCACTAAACATTCAGTACAGATTCTTTTTATTTTTTGAGAGAAGAAAATCTTTTACAAGCACCAAGAGGATGCAACCCAAACGCATACAGAATTTACAATTTTGTACAGGCGAAAAGATTAAAAAATCCAATCAACACCATCATAGATTGGTTGGCCTTTAAGCATAATAGATCGGATTATAAACCAATTATCTCTAATCTGATGAAAAGGAGAAGAGAAGTTGTCAAAAACCTGTCTTGTTTCGCTCTTTCAACATGACACAAAAAATAGAAAGAGGAAGCATATGGATAATGTTCTACAAAGACCCTATAGGAAGCAATACACTACATGCCAATAACTTGTTCTTAAGCAAAGAACCAGTCTGTTCAGTATAATTTCTGTTGGACGGTTTGTACCATATAAGAGAATGATGAGTTCAGATCAAACAAAAGATTGATTGTGAAATTGAAAACTAAAATTTTTTAATTTCCCTAGTATGATATTAAAGTCACATTTGACGATGTAATTTCCTTTATGATTAATGATCTTCATCTGAAAATAGACCAATATCTCAAAGTATTTCGAAAATTATCTTATCTTGTAGAGACTCCTTGAGGTATCTTCTGTTTAAGTCAGAGCTTAAAAATTTTGAGTGTTTGAGATTGCACGAAGAGCCCATAGCAGTATTTTTAAATGCATTTTAGAAAGCAGGTAGGACTTTTTTTAGAGAGTTTATAAGTTCTCAAAAATAAGGTTGTACTGACAAAGTAAAAGTTCTAACAATTTGAATATTTATACTTTCGCATCATCTTTATTAACCTTCTCTTTATTATTTTGTTGCTACATTTGTTTTTCTCTTTTTTTTGGTGATTTGACAAAATAAAAAACTTATATATTATAAGCCTTTTTTTTCCAATAGGTAAAAAACAATCATGTCACCAAACAGTTCAATAACTTATTTGTAGATAAAGTCATACATCATTTCCATGAAAGAAAATTTAGGTCCAGCCCTTCCCATACCTGTTTCCCTGTCTGAATTAGAAGGCATCCTACGGGAACCTTTACTTCAACTTTTTGCCCATTTTTTAGCCAAATGTTTAGCCCAGGGAATCTACTTCTTCCATGAATTGTCAGAAAATTGAGATCATAGTGATATCCAGCAAAAATATTTTGCAGTTCGCCATAAATGCTGAGATCACTTCCAGTTGGAGCAAGCAGGTGTGGTCCCTGTTGTTTCAGAGGCAGTCTTTTATCACAAGTATAAAGCAAGTAGAAGCATAATATGTGTCAGGAGATATAAATAATTATTCGTAAAGGAGACAAGCTTTTAAAACAAGAATTACTAAAGCTACAAATGGACTTCATAACACCGTACCTTATATTCATGAAGTACTAAAGTAACGTTACAAGTTTTCATATCTTCAGTTTCAGAAATGCATAAACCCTTGTTCTTTATCTTCCACTCAAAGAAATTTGGTCTTATACAAATATCCAGATGGAACTACAGACAAACTAGTGTTAATTCTCCTTTTTTGTCTCCCTATCACTACACCCCTTGTTCAAGTAACCACATGGTTGCAAGATCCCTCAATTCAGACTACAATAAAAACTAGCTTGAAACTTAATATTGAAAAAATTCATCATGAAAAAATCTTGGTAGTATTGAGTATTGACCTAGAGAAAGACGAATAAAAGGAAAGCAAAAGACAAATCCAGAACATGACATGCTTGAGTACCGGAACTTGTTTCAGTTCGATTAAGACAATTACAAGAAAGTGGACATGACTATGATGCCCTGAGAAAGCATGCCTCTCATCCTATTGGTATTTACCCTTAATACAATTATTTCATTAAACTTGATACAAGCTAACAATGAAGGAAGAAGCAGCATACCCTCAGGATAATGCAACTGAATCCCAATAAGATTTTGGAGGCGTCTGTGATTGCTAAAAGAAATGTATACTAAAAGCAATGAAGTGCTCTAAATCACTTAAGTGGAAAAACTGTTATTCAGAAAATAAGCAGATATGCCTAAATAATTTATAATTCACAGTATTGTATATACATTATTACTTAATATCAAGAGCGTAGTTAAATAAATTTGTAAATTTATTAGGAATTAGGCGCTCAATTTTTTCCTCTTAAATTCACTCTTAAAGCTTAAAAAACATCTTGCTTTATGTTACCAAACACAGAGAGAGAAGTAAGGTGTTTAAAGCTGCTTATGAGAAAAAAACAAGTAATCCCAAACACCCTTTTATATGAAAAAAAACAAGAAAATGGTGCCAATTAGGTTTAGTAAAGAAAAACAAATGGTTAATTATTTTTTCAAGGGTTCAACAATGAAACTAATATTATGATAAGAAAGTAAAAGAATCCACACTTTTTCACAGAAACTAAAGAAATATAGGCTCCAATTTTGCTTTCTGGGAAGGGGAAAAAACCAAGCAGTAGTAAGATAATACAAAAGATTACAGATGGAAAAGGTAAACACTATTCACCTGCTTCATTAGTGAAGTGAATGCATCCTTTGGCAAACCAAATCCAATTGCTGCCATTTCAGCAACAACCTGAACAATAGGGATAATTAATGGTCGCAAACTATATGCTTCATATGTAATAGAAGCAAACCATAATGCATCATTGACTTGCCTCTATTGCTGATATCATTTTTTGCCCCCAAGAGTCCATTGTGTCTTTCCATTCGGGAAAACCTTCTGGTATGACAGGCTCTGAGTTAAGTTCCTACAAACACAGGAAGACAATTCAAACTGCTTTTTTCTTTCTTTTATGAGAGAATGAGAATGTCAATCACAAGGCACGAAAGGAATGCCAAATACAATGAGTGATAGTCATAGCTTTCTAATTATGCATTTAGTTAAAAATATGAAACAAGATACCAAACCTTAAAACGGGTGTTTGTTGGGCGAGGACCCACTCTCCACATGTACCTCCATTTACGATCAGGACCTGTGGGAGTGCATGGTTGGTATTCTTTGGGCATTGTCTTCAGTTTCTGTTGCATGTCTTCATCAACAAGGCTTCTTGGAACTTCTACTCCCTCTGGAGTTACCCCAACCTGTTATCCCGTTAGTGTCAAATTTTCATATTACTTTTCAACTCTGGAAATGCAATGCAAAAAGGTTGTACCAGGTAAAAAATTCATAAACTTGGGACTCTACATTTCAATATCTCCTTTTTCAAAAAGTCGTAGTCAAGTTTTCCCTCGTTGACACAGTTTCTCGTCAAGTAAACGAGAAAAAGGGCGTAAATGTAGCTATCAAAACTAACTCAAAACTTCTCAGAATCTTTGAAGTTCACTTTTTTTTCCATCTTCTACTGATCTCATTATGACTTCAGCCAAGGACAAGCACTAAAACTGCTGCTCACTACTTTAAAGTATATATTTTGGAATTCACTAAAATCAAATACTTTCACAACATACTGTTCATAATAGCCTTTTTACTTTCCGCTTCTCGCGCGCATTTTCTGATTAACCAAGATCAACGGTTCAAAAACTACTAATTTTCATAATTGAATAAATAATAATTGATCCATTGGTACAAATTGATGTTGATCCTCTAATTTTTAATTTTTTTTTTAAAAAAGCAAAAAAGAACTTGAACAATACTCAGGTTAACTATTAAATATGAAACTAGTAAACTCATCGAAGATTTACAAAATTTCAATGAAATTTCCTTCATTTCCCCCACGATTTTCTCTAGAATAAAAAAACCCCAAACCCAAGAACTCTTCGAAAAATCAAGAATATGCAAAAAACATACGAGAACCTGATAATGCAAATTGGGCCTCTCCTGCAGCCGCTTGAACTCTGATGGTCTCTCGAAGTACTTCTCCATCATATCAAGAAACCGATCGTTATCTTCAACAGTACACCTCGGATCCTTCACCAGCAAAGCTCCAGTCTCCCTAAGGATCCGACTCACCTTAACACACAACTCTTCCAGTTCCGGACCGAGTTGACTCGCTTGCTCCGCTGAATCGCCGCCGAGCTTCCCGCAGACCATTAAATACGGCAACAGGTCTATCACTGGCACCTCCATTCCTCTTACTCTTTTTCGTATTCGCTTTTCGTCCTTTCACGAAAGAGAATACTTTCAGAAAAATGGGAGTGAAGAGCGTTGTTGGGGTTATCTAGAGATGGCGGGAGAGGAGAGTCTTACATGGTACACCATGGCGTATTTTGGCAAACTCGAATCGCGGCGACCGCGCGTCAAGATTTGGGCGTGTATATCGTACTCTCTCTAT